GTGCCACTAGGGACAAGAAGGGAACAAAAGGCAGGGTGACATTAAGAGCAACAGCCTCACTACATTGTGGGAAAATACAGTTCATATACTTTAGTTTTTCTTAGCAATCAGTTCAGTTTGACTCAAAGAAATAAAAATCTTTACTACTTCAGAACAAAGGCATGATCTTAATGAATAAATACTGATGATTAAATACTATTTTGGTTACACAGGTAAGGTATGAGCCATTTTAGCACAGGTACTTTTATCCTGGAAGGAATTATTTGATTTTATTATTTCTTGTAGGCTTTACAGTGTATATGCAGAGAACAAGAGACTCATGTAAGAGAACAACACACGTGGAAATTAATATTAGGGCATTACCTTTTAAATTACTTTTAAAGACATTTTGTAAGGGTTCCAGATTCTAGTCACAATGATAAAATGACAATACTAGAATTTAGTAGATGTATGCTTTAAATGTACTTTCTTATGATTTATACTATCTATAAAATTAGATCTCAAAAAGCATTTTTTCCAGTGTTGGGGATGGAACCCGGGGCCTGGCACATGATAGGCAAGTGCTCTACCACTGAGCTACACCCTGAACCCAAGCTTTGTTTTTTTAATTTGATTTGATTTGTTTTTTGATTTTTGGTATTTTCAATAAATTTTAAATAAAATTTTGACATATTAATATAAAGTTTGCTAATTACACTTTTTTGAAAATGTTTAATGAATCTAAGCTTTTCCTATTATTTCCTATTAGTTTGTTTACAAACTTTTTAATCATACAGAGAATATCATGAGTTACAGGCCAATGCCCTTTATATTTGGTCCCATGTAACCAATTTCTCTCAGAACTGAGAGCTAAGAAAAAAATTATGATTTCTTTCATTGGGTTAATAGAGTCATACAATTCATCATGTTGCCCTCTTTGCCATGGCTTATAGGCAAGCTCAGAGATAAAATTTACACCTAACTATAGCATTTTTGTCAAGTATCGATTTTCTATTGTGGCTAATATCATCTATTAATTACTACTTTCATCTCTATTTAAGTATATATTCATTTTAAATTGCTGCCTTAAATGCCTGCTGTAAATAGCAGGCACATAATGAAATTAAAATAAAATGTTTTCAATAGAAATATGTTACCAAATACCAAGTACACAGGTAGGCATAACAATTATGTTCAGATTATACATATTATTAAATTTGCCCTTTGAGTTATCAGTCTTTGAAGAATAATAGGAATATTTAATCTGGGTAATGCATATATACATTCAGTTTATAAATGAAGGTTTATGTCTTGTGTTCATATCTGAAAATTCATAGAAATAAGTTGATGTTATTAAAATCTAATTATTAGATTATAAACATTTTTGGAAAATCTTTTTTAAATAGAGGAGACTACAAATTTAAAATGAGTCATATGTTTAGCCTCTTAATGTGAATCAACATAGCAAAATCAAGATGATCTGTTCATTTACTATGCAAAAACTGTTTATGATTAGAATCATGATTCCCAGCTTAAAGGATCAAAGACATTTAGATGGCAATGTTATGGAAGATTTAACATATTTTTAGAGATCATTGATAACCTTCAAGGATGCTATATTTAATTTGTATGATATTGAGCGTGGTTCACAGGGGCTGCTGGCCTGAATTGATCTGTGTGTACTGCAACAGGTCACAGAGCTATGCTAAAATAGTGGCATCACCTGTAGGTAGATCACTAAGGTTCTATATAAAAGTCTAATACCATTCATACCACTGATTTTAGGCAACAAACATAAGAGATTAAGCAATCTCTAAATGGGTCCTGAAAGGACAATTGAATGATCAAAGAATCTATGCTCTTTCTAAATTCTAATTCAAAAGGAGAAAGTACAGACATCCTTTCATTATATTACAGTATAAAAATAAAACAAGAATTATGTACAGATCTTTCATGTTAAAGGAATCTAAGATGATTTTCATAAATTTTCTTTAATTTTATAATATTAAAAACATGATTGAATCAATCAAATAATTTTCCAAAATAATTTCAACAAGAGAGTCCTGGTAGGTGAGAAATATTTGACAATGAGGTTATGGATTTCTTTATGTCTTGGTTTCTGCTGACCTGTAGGGCTTTTCTTGTTAGTAGATGCCAGATTAGACATCTTCTATGAAGGTGATGAAATCTAATTTGCATTTTTATCAAATGTAATTATCAAAATGTAATATATCCTGCCCCTGAAAATCTAAGTATAATGACAAAAATATAATGCACATATAGAATAAATTAGCTAATTATATAGCATATAAAAGGAGGAAAATCGTTAACTGTCCTTAGATGCATTACTATACCTTATAATTGTTCTATAAAAAAGAAATTATTAGGAGAAAAACCAACCTATAATAACTATAAAGCATAATCATCAAAGGGAGTTGCTAATTGATAGGATTCACTTTAAGGTAGGTAACTACTGTACATAATAATTATTTTATCAGCATACAATCTACTAAATATTTAGAAGAAGCCAAAAATAGATATTTAGAACATTATTCTCACTTAAGACCCTGATTAAAGAGAAGCAACAAACAAAGCCATGGAATTCAAAGCAGATACTGGCCCTCTTTTGGTTAAGTATTTCGAATAGTCCTTTTTACAAAATGGCCTCCATTGCTAAACTGGAACAGCCAAACATGAATTGAAAAACCTCTATGGAACTAAAACAAAAAATTATATGATCTAAAATTTAAGATTGATGCGTTTGTTCTGCATCAAACAACACAGTAAGTTTTTTTAAATGTTCTATTTTGAAAAACATGCCCAGTTTGCTCTTTGGAAATTTGTGAATGCAATTCAGTACATAGAAGCTGGCACAAATTAGATTATACAGATCCCAAACAGGAAAAGATATAGTTTGAAAATTCAGGACTTACATGAAGAAAACTTGGAATTAATATCCTCAGTGAACAACCAAAGATAAATACAAATTATCAGCAGTTGATACACATACGATTTTTTAAAAACATAACTCATTGATAAAGTTTTAAAAAATGTGTTCTTTAAAAACTAGGTACAAGACACACAAAATTATTTTTCTTTTCGCCAAGAATGCATTTAGGCTAAGTTTGCATTACTTACTGGCTTTCCCAAGACAGAAATTCCAATTAGTAAAACGTTCCAAGAAAGATACAAAATATAAGAAATATCCTGCATTGCAATATTTGCAGAGATGATATAGTCTCATACTTAATATTTCAATGAGAAGAAATTCAATTAATAACTTTATTATACCATCCTGTGGCTTAATTATATGTAATAATTCTAAAATTTTCCTTTTGTTATGATTGGATGAACCGCACCCTATACGGCAGATACGGCATATGAAAAATCACAAAGATTTCCCCTAAATTTGGTCCCCGTTTGTGTCAGTTTTCCACCACAGCACCAAAATAGAAGAAAGATATGTAAATTAATATATTTTATTGTATCTATTATTTGATTTTACTATTCAAACAGATTCTATACTAACTCAGACCCATTATCCCCCCTTATCATGGGAAGACAATGGTAGGGTTTAACATCATGTCTGAAGGAGAATGCTAAGTTTGAAAATATTTTTAATAGAGTGGCTGAAAATCAAAAGACCAGCACTTATTGTTTAAAGGCTATAGTGGGGATGATGGCAAAAGCACCATACACAATGATTTAACTGGAATCATCTGACTATTCTGGTACCATGGCTACTACAATGACTACCTTTTAAGTTAGCAGACCACCACAAGGCAAACTAAAAATAGCTTTCCAGTACATGTATACGACTGACAAAAAACCTGTGCTGAGAATAGTCCTATTGTACCAGTTATTCTCTGAAAGTAAAAGACAACTCAAGGTCAGATGAAAAATAACCAATAACTCCTATTCTTTGCCTTATGGCTTCCCGCTCTCCCCCCCAAAAATTAACATTTTATTTAAATAGCAGCATTTTTATGTTTAGATAACTATAAAATTGTCTAAAGACATATCAAAAGATTTATTTTGTTGTTCGAAAATTATATTATTTTAGGAGGAAGAATAACTAGGGGAAGAAGCTTATTTGTAGTGTGGTTAGTGTGGTTAGATTTCAAAGGAAAAAGAGGTATGAGAGGTATGTAGACCTAGCATATGACATGGTTTTATTAGAAAAGAAAATTATCTTTTTATTATTATCAATTCCTCCAAATTTTTCTTTAATAAAATTTCACAGCAATCTCCTCAAGAGGATACACTAAAGGCCCTGGATTATATATACCCTAAAGAATGTATTGTATCACAAAGATACATACCCAATAAGATTTTTTTTTTCATCTGAAATTTATAAAGATAATTTTCCATGCTGACAGTGCACATTTCATCCATAAGTTTGAAGAGTCAAATGCTACCACAGCTGGGGGTTATTCTGCCAAATGGCTTCCAACAGGGACTACAGAGATGGAGGCTAGGAGGCATGTGTATGTGCACGCAGGAAAAAGCAACAGACCTGATGGGAAATAGCCCTTCTCTGGAGTCATTTTTATCAATTACAATCTGAGTGATCTAATCAAACATGAAGTCTCAAGAAAAAAAGCAACACTAGGAAGCAAAAGCAAATATTAAAACAGCTGCTTGATTACCTACAGAGATTAAAACAAAAAGCAAGGGGTGAGGCTGATATATTTCTTAGGGCTTTTCTAAGGCTGAGGGGAGGGGTAAGGGGCAGATACCTTAAAAAAAATCATGAAAGGAACTGAGACAAGATTATAAAAAAAGGGCCAAGTTAGAGCGCGCCATGGGATTTTTAATCTGGCTACCTGTGGTTTCTGTAGTTAAAGCCTTATTCATCCCCAAAACAGGGGGTGGGGGCAGAGAAAACAAAAAAAAATCACAATTATATGTCAGTTTTGCAAATGATCAAACAGCGTGCATCATCAAGAATAATAAGAGAACATTAAGCGCTGATGACTTTAAAATTAGATACCCGTTTATCAAATATTATTGATAATTACCTGTGCATCTCGTTTCTTGAACTCTTGAATTTGATTTTCGTGCTCCATATTGGCAGCGCGAAGCTGTTTCCCCAGGTTTTCAATTTCCCGTTCATGGTCTCGGACTAGGCTATCCTTCTCTGCGTTATGCTGCTGTAATAGGTGCGTCTTCTCCTGTTCATGCTCCAGCTTCAGCTCTACTATCTGATTGGACAATGAGGAGGACAGTTCATCAAGAGAACATCCTTGTCGTCATGACAACTCATGTACAGCTTAATTTTTCTCTAATTTGTCCAAGTTGAAAATTTTATTTTTGCGTCATTATTACCTCACCCTTGAAATACCTTCATTTGGTGGGGGGATTTTATTCATACCTCCTAATATTCAAGACGTTTGGTCATATTCAGGAAATCCTTTTGCAATCTGTTGACACAAATGTCTGAACATTGAAAAAAAATTATGTCGAATGCTAGGTATTTCCTCGCCAAGAATTTGGGTATAATTGATCAGCAATGGTTGTAAATGGTTAATAGTCAGTACGCTTTGCTTTTTGCTTAAATATACACATGTAAAAAGCAGCAATTAAATCGGTCAGTTTTCTTCATGATTTTCAAATAAAAGATCTGAGCTAAATACGCAACTGGATTATTGTATATACAGTTGTCCTTTTAAAAATAAAACGATAAATTTCAAAGCTCTATTATCTCGTTGTCAGCTACGGTATACCAACATAAACAGATGTTATGTCTTCCAGAAGAGCACCTGCTGTGCTGCAAGCTTGCGCCATGATTTCATAAAAAGCATTCTATTCTCAGGATCCTTTCCCAGTCCACTCCACACTGGAGACTGTGACCTTGGCCAGTCTTAGCCTCTCCCTGCTAGACTGAATGGCAGCCCGAGACCAAGGGCCTGGTTGCCGCAGCTTTGATACTAATCCTCCCAGACTGTGCACAATGGCACCCTACCTGGCCTGCAAACTATAGCCAGCCAGGCTGTCTTTGAAGCAGGTGATGAATAGGGGACTGCAGGAAGCCAGCTTCCCCAGTGAACTCCAGGCCACACAGCTGCTAAGAACAGTCACTTGAATTTTTCTTCAGTTTTGGTGGATTTCAGGGGCAAAACTGCTGTTATCTAGAATATGTTGTGTTATTTTCAGCGTGAGAATCCATCCTCAAAAAAGCTAACAGTAGGAGACTGCTCCAAATCGATCTCATTTCGTGCAATGAATCACCAGACTACCTTATCTTAAAGCTATAGCATTCATTTATCTAGGCATGCACACTGCATTAAATTTCCAAAGTTATTTTTCTCTGAAATTTGAAATTCTCAACCCCTAACTGCAAACCAAGAATGAAAACAAAATTAAAGGTTTCAAAATGTTTTCTTATTGTGACATTTCTTAGAGAGTTGGGAAATCAACAAATTTCTAACCATTCATAAATTTATTAAGCTATTTAGAAGAAAGAAAAGTAAGCTAACTTTTATATATACTTAATTAACAAAATAATGTACAAGTAATATGGAAAATGTTTAATTCTTTCATTTAACACCAAAAATGTATTTTAGTGAATTTATTTAAAATATAATGGGTTTCCTCATATATTTCTGTTTTTGGCAAAATATGGAAAAAATTAGTACAGAACTATTCTCTTAATAACACTAAAGTTTTCTTTGATTATTTAAAATATATGTGCATGTTTTGTTCTGTGATTTGCACAAGTACAATATTAATCCCAACAGAAGACAGAAATTAAAATTTTATTATTATTACAGCCAAATATATGAATTATTGAGTTGGAATATTTTTAGTTCTTACACACATTATTATTTCTATTTATTGTTATACTCTCATGCATCATTATAATAAATTATAAACTTCGTCAAAATCATTTATGTATGTAACATACTGAAAAAAAGGAGCAGGTAGAAAGTTCTTCCAAGACAGTAAGTATGACTTAAAATTCATAGCAAAACATTTTACAAGTAACCAAATAGCCTTTACATGGAAGACAAGAATTACAGATCAGCCTCTCTCCCAAAAAAAGGCACATGAGTGTAAGTATAAGTGAGATCATTAGTAATGGAGCTGTACAGTTTTAGGATCTAGTAACAACATCCTGTAGTACCTTTCTAACCTGAGTAATTGTCCTTGATCACATTTGTTTATTCATTTTAAAAAGCTAGGGAAAAAAATGAAAGAGTGATAATGGAATTTCAGCTGTAAAGATAGATATTTTTAAGTTATTGTTAGTTTGTTATTTTTCCAGGGCCTGTTACCCAGTAATCCTACTTAATGAATAAATCTCAAAATAAATCTCCGAAGCCTTTTTAAGAGAAATAGCTGAGGCTCATCTGCTTAGTCCAACATTAATAACTTCTAGATGTTATGGGCTCTTTCTGGTCATAGTGTAGATTTCTTTGCTGTCAGCATCTTTTGGCAGAGCTGTCATCTCTAGAGAAATAGTAGAGTCCAGAGGAAAAGTCTGAATGTTCTGAGAATATCCTGACTAATGGTATTCATAACCACAAAGGCCATCACTGGCTTGTGTTAAAAATCAAAGTTTTACTGGTCTCTGGGCCCTTCTACATAAGCAAATGTTACAAGAGTCCTTCAGACTTTCCAGTTTGGTTCTTTACAGGACCATCTCAAAGGTAAACATGAAGTAGCATCTCTTATTTATTTTGGACCTCTTTACCTTGGGTACTTTGGATTGACCAACAATAATGTCTAATAGAGTTAATGATTGAGATAGTAAATTGTGGAAAATCTGAAGCATATTGCATCTACAAGGATGAATACTGAATGGATCAATCAACTTCTAAGTCAAATGGGGTCTACATCATTATAAAGGGGGAACAGGAGGCACTACTCAAAGACTAGCTAAAGGGATACTTGTAATACGGAAAGGCCAAAATTCCCTACTCCAAAAGCACTAAGCCACAAGACAGGTAATAACACTGAGTATGTGCCCACCCTCCACAAATTAAAGCACATTTTCATGTCTTCCAGGGACAATGGAAGCAATTAACATTCATGTGCAAGCACCTGATAATCACTTGAGATACTGAATTTCATGGCTTGGTGGTTGAAGTTGAAAGACAAAATAGCTTTATTGCCTAGAAACATCTAGGGTGATCCACGTGAAATTGCCATATTTTTTCCTTGTAAATCAAAACAGGAGATAATGAGTCTTACTCCACCCACTGTGCTACTCCCTAACACATTCTGAAACTGAAGTTCAAGAGGGAAGTTTCAAAGTTCTGAAGTCCCTGAAAGCATAGCTCTCCATCACAGGCTAACTCACTTTACAGTCTAATGATGATACACTCATTTCAACTCAGGTTTCAGGTAAGTGCCCAAGGGCTGGAGCACATTTCAAGCTCAAGAAGGACCAAGACAGAGCTGAGAGATTTCCAAGTCTCTGGGTGTCTTGGAAAATGTATTTAAATCCTAGTAACTTTTGCAATAGTGCTAGCAAATATGGATTGAGTAGTTTTTAATAATCATATAAAAAACAAAGGGTATAAAAAAGTTACTGCTCCTCATTACCTAACATATAGAAAATTAACACATCTTTTTAACTCACCTCAATACCAGGAACTCCAATATGAGATACACAAATTATAGATGTAATAGAATGCACCATGACACATTGAAAAGGAAGAATTATGATACAAAATATAATAGAACCTTGAGCTGCAAATAACTTGTTCTGTGAGTGTTTAACAACATATACAAACATTTCTAGTAAATTTTAACTTGATAAATGAGCAATGTCTTGTAATACAAGTAGTCCGTGGTGCCAAATGTCACACAATCACAACCAAGTCAATGGTTCTTCTCAGTCATTCTCACTGCAGGATTATCTGCCAACAGCAAAGGGTTACGGAGGAGATCTTGTCTACAGAGGAGGAAGAGAAAAAGGTGGAGGAATCCCTCACTTCACATGAGATTGGAGAGATGTGTAAAATGTGGGAAGTTGCAAACATTGTAGAAAAGCACCACCCAAATGAGGCTGCAGAAGTGCGAACAATAAATCTGTTTAACAACAATACAATGTCACATTTCCACAAAATCCTCAAAAGAAGGCAAAAGCAAGTGTCATTGGATAGGTTCATTGTGAAAGTTGCACAGAAAGAAAAAGATACCAATGAGCCAATAGACAGCAGTGACTCCATTAGTGATAGCGAAAGTCCTCCTACAAATAACCCTCCTCTCTCTTATCTCCCTCACACCAGCAGGGAAGGTTTTCAAAGCTAAGTACAGGTTAATTTGTTTACTTTTCTATATATTTGTATTTTTCATTATTTTGTATTATATTCTTATAGTCATTTTTATATGAATATTTAGGGTTATGGAACAAATCATCTGAGTTTCCATTATTTCTTCTGGGGAAATTCACTTTAATATAAAAGTGTTTGGGATTACAAGCATGTTTCTGGAACAAATTATGCTCTAAACCAAGGTTTTATGAATTAAATAAAAGAACCTTAGAGAAAACCAAATTACAGAATCCATGTTCTACATACCTTGATGAAAAATGGTTAAAGCTTTAGGAAGTTGGGGGAGAAGCCCTCCCTATTCTCCAGCTAAGAAAAGAAAAATAGAAGGAGTCTATAATTGGGACCCCTAAGGTGGCTCTATCCTAAACTTCAATGATAAATGAATAAAAACATGAAAGCTATGAATCTGGAGGGATATAGAGTCTACCTACTTCAAGGTTAATCTTAAGCCAGAAATTTTCCTTATAATACCATAAATAGTTAATAACTCAGCTGCTGATGGAATGATTTTAGCAGCAGGAGGGTAACTATTCCAAGGCAAACAGTGCTTCATACTGAACATACCTGGCACTGGGTAAAGATAGCAGAGGAAATTGAAAATTGTGAAAAGAACAAAAAATGTTAACAAAATAAGCAAAATAAACCAAGAGAATGTTAAGTGGAAGCAAACACAGGGAAGAGGAATATTATTTTGACCAAATATTTCAGTTCAAAAGGTGGTAGTCAAGGAAAAAAAAGAACTTCTGACATCATTTGATGATGCATCCTATTTTGTTCCCATCCTCCAGACATAGAACTGATGACCTGAAATAATGCTGAAGACTATCCTATAATACCCCAATTTTAGAGAAAAATGGGCTAAAGACGCATTATTCGCATTTCCTTCCGTCTGGATGGGGATAGGAATAAAAAATGGCTGG